TAAGTGATCATCTATCTCCCGAAGAGCAAGGGTATTTTCCTACTTCAGCATTGCAATTGGGTCTTCTTTTTTTCTAACAAAGCAGTGTTTTCCCGAGGGCCCGAGTTTGGACACTTGCTCTATTGTATGAAGGTCTCATACAGTTTGCTTTTCAGCTGCTTGATGAAATCCAGTGCAACACCCTTGTTCAATGGACTCTAAAATGCAACACAATTCGCCTTGCCATAGAAAGCAAATAAAAGGACAAATGTGGAGCATGCTGTGTTTTGACACGGTGTGGTAAGAGCTCTCCCCTGGCTTTAGGGACTGAGAGACCCACTGACACACACCCCTCACCTGTACCTACTCGCCATTCCCTGATAGGTGTTTACCCACGGAAGAGTGCCTGCCACCTAAAACCTCTGCCTGTGATCTCACAAGTCAATCAGAGCCAGCTATGGTCAGTCAGTGGATGGAAGAACTCCAGAAAAAATAGTTCAGGCTGCCATAAGTCATCTCAATGATTTGTTGGTAATACTGGGTTCTTGAAGAGTAAGGAATCAGTGCCCCAGGGTGGTGTCTGGGAGCACTGTATAGGCAAAGGATCTTCTCTTTTCATTAAGCTGCTTAAGGATTTTTAAAACAAAAATTTGGTTCTATATTTCATAATTATGGAATATTCTAATGGGTAGATATAAAATTTATCAGCATATCTCTCCAAATAAAAGTCAAGGCAAAAAACATTTAAGTGACCAGAATATGAGCAAAGTACTATACTAGACACTCAGCACAGTGCATGACACCTGGGAGGCACTCTGTAGATATGGTTGAATAAATGATGCATGGAAGAACAGGGGGTTCCCAGAATCAGCGGTTGGCAATAGCAGAAATCAAAGTTTAGAAGACCCTTGAGTTCCCCCTGGACCAGTGAACTGCAATTTCTATAAACCGATATGGAAAGCAGTGTGGTATCACAATATTAGGTGCATCCTGATCCATTACTCTTCCACTCTTGCAACTCTGATACAGTCAATCAAAGGTACATCTAGGAAAGTTAGGATGCCATTTGGCCCACAATTGGTAACCAAATATGAAAATTGGAGTGAATCTAAATGTTGGAAGAAAGCTGAACTGTGGGTGACTTGCTGGGTTGGATAGTATTGGAATCATTTGGCTGATGATGCGAATCAGTCTCTATTTGGTTTTGAAATGGAAGCCCAGTAATCAAATAAGTTTAGTAAAATTCCTTGTGTTTATAGAGATCTAGTCAAAATGATTCTATATTTTCCTATCTAAGCATCCTAGTGGAAGTCATGTTTTGCCTTTCTAATTACATATTTGCTTACATGTGTATGATACAATATCACTGAATGAAGTGAGAAGCCTGGTTCTAATTCATATAGGAATTAGAGTTCAGATTTTCATTCATCTCAAGTCCCCAAATTGCCAGAAAAAATATGTATGTGTGTCACTATGTATCTATTACCTGTATAAGTTGGATTATCAAGCTCTAAAAGTTTTACTGTATAACAAGAATGAGTCCTCAGAATGTGAACAGCACTGGATTACGAGGAGAATTCTGGTGAAGCCATTCACCAGTGTTTTCACTTTACGAATATTATGGTACTTAACAATCCATGGTTTCCTCACCTGCAGAATGAGGAGAATATACCTGATGCCCACCTTACAGGGTTTTTGACAGAAGCAATCATATATGCTAGGATGGCAGAACCATGCAGAGTATAAAAGTATGAACTTGGAGTTGTGGGGAGGTGAGGGGGAGCTCCGTTTGCACTTGACACTACTCTGTCATCTTTGACACTCTGTCATCTTTGCCCAGTTACTGAACCTGAGTTTCCCCTTCTGTCATATGGGGATAATGATAATACCTAACTCACACACTCATTGAGAGGATTAAATAAGATGATATATATAAAGTACTAAGAGTCTATGATAATGGATAATACTGATGAGCACTTACTGTGTTCCAGGTACCTGGTAACATACATGAATATGCTCTCTGGGTTGTAGACCATGTGAGGTGGAGGCTAATGAGCATTTTTTCCATGCCCAACCTGTGCTCCTGGGCGGCCTTGCTTCTACAGTCCATAAACTTATCAAGCAAGAGTTCTCACCCATGATTCTTACTGAGGGGTAGGGAAGAGGCCAATTCACAGAATCTACTGCTCCAAAGAGGCAAGCCTCTTGGGTCAGGAACTAACCCTGTAAGGAGATCTCTAGCCCAGGCGTTGGAGTTGGTTGAGCCTCAGAGGAAGCAGACCTATGATCTGCATTCTGGGTGCATTACTTTTGGACTTTGTCACAAGGGCCCAGGCCTCTGCAATGGGTGAAGGATAGTCAGAAGGAACTCGAAGGTAGAGGCTAGTTATTCATGTCCTTCCTCCACTTTGAAACAGCCTCCACCCTTTGAATTGTCACTGTCTTCAACTAACAAAATAATTACTCATTATTTTATTATTACAACTACTTTTTATCAACATAATTGCTCTTGTTATTAACAGCTAGCACACAGTGAATTCTTACATAGGACACAGTTCATTGACTTACTTATCACAACATCCTACGAAGAAGATTGTATTATTATCCTTATTTCACAGATGAGTAAAGTGAGGATAAATCAGAGAGTAAAATAATTGCCCAGGCGAGCAAGTGGTATCGCTAAGACCCAGACCTGGGGCTGTCTCGCTCCACACCACTATTTCTAGCTACTATACCACCCGTTGATTTATTTAATGATTCGTAACTAGAGTTCAAACTCAGCAAGGCACTTGAATTCAAAATCCATATACTATGCTTCTTTATAACCACCTAACATCCAAGCCAGTGAAAATCAGACACTTAACCATCCATAAATGTCATTTGAATATTTGTTCATCTTCACCAAGATCTAGTAGAAGTCTTCTCTTTTAATGCTGATAATTTAGCACCCTAGGATTTTTAAACAACAGAAACAACTTTAGATCTGTCTTATGTAAAGAAAGCTATGTTAATCTGCACTTTCATTCAAAGCTGTTGGTTCCTCTGTTCCTCTAGGATCTAGGTGTCCTGTGAGTTCTCATCTTCCTGAAACTTGAGGCCTCTGACTGGGCGAGGATGGAGAGGAAGCTTGGGCTAGATGCAGAGAGCGCCACTGTCCGTCAGTCTAGACCCAGGGGGTCTCCCTCCTGCCCTGCTCCCTTCACACCCAGGGAGCCTCCCGTCTCCTTGCCTCTGCCCTCTGGCCCTCCTTCCTCAGAGCGAGAGAGCAGTGCCTGGCAGTTTGCTCAGCACTTCCAGAGTCCCTCCCGCAGGAATGAACTCCTGTTCAACTCGTCTTCATGTCTATTTTGAAAACAAAAACAAACACTTTGGGTCGATACTCAATTTGCCAGAACACAAACAAAAACAAAAAAGTTCTGTTTTGTAAAACAGAATGAACTGGAACCTTCTGAGAATTTTTGGTTTTCCTATACGAAATGCTTTTTATTGTTTTAAAACATGTTCTCATGTGATTTTTTTTCATGTGACATAAAAGGGTTTCCTTAAGCTTAATATAATTTATTTTAATTAATCTTCTAAATTGAAAAGATGAAGTTGAGTGTAGAATTGTAGCTACACTCGACTTTTAAAAACATTTATGAGCAAAAACTATAGAATTTACTATATAAACAAGCTCATTTAATGTATCGTGTTACTGATATAGCTATAAATACCAGTTGGATGAAAAGTCTTGATTGGACTTGGTCTCTTCTGCTGATGCAGCTTTAATTGCACATGATAAGAAAACACATGCTTTCTGGAGTCAGAAAGCACATCAGATTGCCATGACCGCACCAGCAACCTGCCCCGTGAAACAATAAACCAATGTCATGCCAGCCGCTTGCCTTATGGGCAAAATAAATAAATAAATGCTAAATATTTCTCTCTCTTTACTATTGAAAAGTTAACAAGAAGAGATATCCTTTGTACTGTACCTCCAAAAAAGGAAACAGCCTTTTCTAAAAACCCACATAAGACGTTGTAATAAACTAGAAACCTCAGGGAAAACTATGGCGAGCTCTTTAGCATGTTCCAGAAGCAGCAATAGACTGGATCCAGCAGTCAAGGTATTTCAGCCATGGGTGACCAATCAGAGGACTGGAAAAGTATGAATTAAAGATACCTCAGTACCCCCAACACTATCAGTGTATCATTTATCATAGCAAGTAATACACACACAGATTACCCACCCTTTTAAGGAAGTCTACAGTCAACTGCTACTTATCCATGCCTGATTTCTTTAAGATATTATTTATTTATTTATTTTTAGAGAGAGGGGAAGGGAGGGAGAAGGAGAGGGAGAGAGACATCAATTGGTTGCCTCTCTCGTGCCCCCAACCCAGGACCTGGCCCACAACCCAGCCTTGTGCCCTGACCAGGAATCGAACCGGCGACCCTTCAGTTTGCAGACTAGCACTCAGTCCACTGAACCAAACCAGCCAGGGCTTGTTTTTTTTTCCTTAAGATTTATTTATTTATTTTTAGACAGAAATGCCCTATTTCTAACCTAGCACCAGTTTAAACTGTTGAGACGACATAACATTTGCTTTTGAAAACATAATTAGAAAGGTAGACACATTGAATTCAGGAACCAGATATAAATTCCTTTTGGATTATACACAGTTATGAATTACTAGTGTATCCACATGGCTAATCCCCTCCATTTGTGTGGATAATCCAGAATTGGATAGAACTATTAACTTGTTGAAAGTGGTGATAGTTATTACATGACATTAGTTTCACTAATTCCACCAAAGATGGTTTTCTTTGCCAACAATCTTCCCTTTAAGGCTGTTGTTATACATGCAATTTTGTTTACTTTTTGGGTTTCCTAATTTTAAAAGCATGGATTTAGGCCTGATTGTTCATGTTTGTAAAAAAACAATCCCTAATAATTCTGGCTTGAAGGGTAGCTCAACAGTAATGTACTCTGTTTCACGTGCCCAAAGATGATCTTTCTGGCTTTGTCCCTCTCTCTGCAGCAACCCTCCACTGTGAGTTATGCAAGACACATCATTAAGGAGGAAGGCTTGGGCCTCCGGGGCCTCAACAAGGGATTTACCGCGACGTTGGGGCGTCATGGAGTTTTCAACATGGTTTATTTTGGCTTCTACTACAATGTCAAAAACATTATCCCTATCAATAAGGTAACTATTTTATACATAGATTAAAATCCTAGAGGAAGAATCCTATCAATGATGATAGCTGCATCTGCAGAGTGTTTATCACGTCCTGCTCACTGGGCCGAACACTTGTATCAGTTCTACACTCTGATGCCTTATTTGTTCAGTGCTGTTGTCCCTGTTTTGAATTTGGAAAGTGAGGCTTAGAAAGGTCAAGTAGTTTTCCCAGGGTCACACAGTAAGTAGCAAAGCAGAGACTTGAACCCACGTCTGATACCAATTACGTTATACTGGAATATACCTTCATAGCTGAGTGCTTCCTATTTATCCCTAATGGGAACTTCTAGAATCTACGTTATTGCTTAATTTCTATCTGAAAAGCATAACTTTCTCAGAAAATTTAATTTTTCATATCCTAAATAAATTCTGAGTTCATGGGGAAAATTGTCAGCCTAAAATTTAAATCTTAGCTAGGAATTAATCTTTAAATTGGCCTAAATTAATGAGGGCAAGTAGTAAACAAGCTCTCCTAGGATTCTTTGTTTTTGAAGCCAAATACTAATAATCATTGACTTCTAAATGGTAACATACAGATGCACAGCCTTTCAACTTGTAGAAGATAAAAGTAGCACGCGATGTGCTTTACAATGAGCATCTGTGAGCTTTCTCACCGAGTCTTCCACGCCATCATTTGCTTGCTTGCGATGAAAATTGCAATCCTGGAAGCAGCAGTTAGGGAAACATTTTTCCCATTCAGGCAGTTTCCCGTAGGGGTTCAGGTCCTCATTTTGCTTAATACAAAAGTTTTGAAGGACTTTTTACGTCACAACACTATTTCTAACGTGGCTGTCACCAGACTCCGCAGTAAAGTTATTTATACCTATCTTTGCCCAGCGATTCCCCATATTCTAGGCCAGGACTTATCTCAAGAATGGAAACAGCTGAATCCAAGGCATGTTCTGCGTTAACCATCGGCTGGCATTACCTCACTCACCAGCCCGGGTTGTTAAGCAGGTTTCGCTGTATTTGGAAACCTCATTTATTGAGTAGAAGCTTATGTTTTGCTGGTCTGAAATCTCTATGATAGACCATGATATATAGATCCCCCCGCTGACTGACTGGTAATTCGGACTCTGGTGGTCTGCAGAGCTCCCCCTCTGTCGAGTTGGAGAAATGCAGAAATAAAGGGCAGTGAACATGTGGGTTCTGGATGACCTGAGAGACTTCAACTCTTAACACACGAAGATCCCTTTTAGCTGGAATGGGTTAAACAACACGAGGCCCAGGGCAACACAAAAATGCAAGCCCCCTTTTTCAAAACTTAAAAATTTCAAGACAGCAAGGGCAGAGCAACAAACCAAGCACTGGGCTCCTCCAAGTGTAGGCCCTGGTGACTGCGCAGGTCGCACAACCGTGAGGCTGAACCTGGTTCTCAGACCCTGAGCAGAGTAATCGATACAGCGTGGGTGAAGTGTCTGGGCCCCCTTTTCTCCAGTTATCCAAAGGCTTGATACACACAATGAAATAAATTATATAATTATTTACGTATATTATATAAGTATTATACAGGGTGGGGAAAAAGTGGGTTTACAGTTTGCATGGAAGATAATGTAATCATTAACAAATAATCGTACAAGAATAAACTATTTCATATACTCACAAATTTAAACCCACCTTTTCCCTGTCCTATATATTTCATTATATACACAGGATTTGGAACAAATAACACCCCCTTTTTATTACAAAATCTTTTATTACAAAATCACAAGCGTGTAATTCTGTAACATAACAATATCACACGCAAGCATAACTTATGACATTCTAGATGAAATGTTCAAATTAAAACTATAAATTATCACACCCAATTATTACCCTGCCAACCACACTCAAGCAGGCCTTACTTCTGCTGGACCCTGTATTTTGTGCATGTATATTAATGCATATGTTATAATATAATGAATTGGGTTATACTTGAGAAAGAAATTCAGAAAGATCAGTAAGATTTACATATGGTCACATGTTACTCAAAAATAGCCACAAATGCGAACTTCATTCAACAACTAATCGATGAACTTATTAAATGTTATGCACTATTTTTCAAAAGACAGAAACTTAAATATTCATTTTTTAAATGACATCATGGTATTCTGAAACTCTGGAAAGAGCTCGTTCATCTTGTCAGTTCACAAGGAAGAGACCCTACTGGCCCGTATAGGTCCCACAGAGGAGTCTTATCTTTATCTGAAGAGCACTCACTGGGAAGCCAACGAAAGAATTTAAGCAGAGGAAATTACCTGAGCACTCTCCCTGCAGCATGGAAAATGGGTGGAGTCAGGGTGGTGAGGGAAAGGCAGGGTGTAACATGGAAATGTCTTCACCGTGAGATGCCGGGGTATCGGACCACCGTGTTCATTCATAATGGAGACAGTAAGAAATGGACAGATCTGAAAAATCATCAGAAGGCAAAGTCCATAGGATATGGTGATGAAGTCAATATGTACATGGAGAGCAGGGTTGGTGGTTAGGAGGGTGCCTAAGTGTTTGGCTTAAACAACTGAAAGGATAGTGGTGTCAGTCACGGAGAAAAAAACCTTTTGAATGAGAAAAAACTTTATGGGTGAATATTATGAGCTTAGCCTGGAAACTGAGTTTAACCACATTTGAAACAAACTCCAAAGTGCAGATGTTGAGTGTGATGGTGGATCCTGGAGCCTGAGAGGAGGGTTCCGAGTTGGAAGTGCAGTCACTCAGGAGTCGTCAGTGTACCTGGGCGAGCACACCTGTACAGAATGAATGGTCGTGGGCCAATCACTTCCCGGCTCTGAGCTTCCAGGTTGTTTGTTTTTGTTTTTGTTTTTGTTTTTATCTGCAAATCGAGGAGGTACTCTTGTTCTTTCTACCTGATGAAACTTTTTGAGGATTAAAATAAGTAGTGTTTGTGCATTTTAACGTACCGTAGAAGTGTTCGTTGTGGCGGTGCCAATGGCAGGGCTGAGGAAGGAGCAGAGGTTGCACACTGGTGGTGGGAATAGTTAGCACAGAGAACTGCATGAAGAATTTTTCCCCAGGACTGTTTCTTTTGCACTTAAATGAACACTGTTTTTTCTTGCCTAGAACAAAGTCATTGATTTTATGTGTTCTGTAATCTAAGCCTGATTCAAAACTGGGAAACCAGTATTCTTTAAATTTAAACCATAATAAATCAATCCTTTGTGAAGAGGAAGGTATGATAATCATTAAAACATGTTGTAGAACGTCATCAAGTTGTTAAGCATGAGGCGGAGGTGGTGTTCCTTGAAGTCTGTGTTCCGTCTCTGCTGCGGGCCAGCTCCAGCCGCGCTCCGGCCGGTTTGTTCGCAGGGCTATTGTTTCAGCGCCCTCACCCAGCCGTCGGCCATTTCACTGTTCCTAGGGGATTGGAGACTTCACCAACCCTGAATGGCACGGGATAATTCTAGATTTTTCTTTAATTTAACATAGTTTTTAAATCTATAAATTGTCCTGCAGTGTATCCATTTTTGAAGTATTTGATTTGATAAGGAGCTGTCTGTAAAGATTGCCTCTGGGGAGTGAAAACTGGGAGCCACTTGTGTGTGTGTGTGTGTGTGTGTGTGTGTGTGTGCGCGCGTGTATGTGGGGCAGAGGCAGGAGGAAGCAGGCAGCAGTGGAGGGAAAGTAACTTTTCTTTATACCATTCTGAGCTCTTGGAAGCATCTGTAATAAGCATGTAATAAATCAGTGAAAATTTTAATAGACTCTCATAAAATAGAGTACCTACTTAGCTTTTTCACATTTTACTTAACTTGAGGCTATGTCTACAGAGATAAAATGAGAACTTGAAACAGTAAAGCCCAGATAATTCAGCTCAGATATCCATCCCTGAAAATTTTTAAGTATATTTTATTGATCACGTTATCACAGTTACCCCGATTTCCCCCCTTCTACCCAGTACCCCATTCCCTCCAGCAATCCCCCCTTTAGTTCATGTCCATGGGTCCTGCATATAAGCTCCTAGGCTTTTCCATTTCCTACACTGTTCTTAACATCCCCTTGTCTATTTTGCACCTATCAATTATGCTTTTTAATCCCTGTACTTTTTTCTCCATGCTCCTCCTTCCCCCTACTGCATGATAACTCTCCAAATAATCTCCATACCTATGATTCTCTCCCTTTTCTGGTTGTTTGCTTAGTTTGTTTGTTGTTGTTGTTTTTTAGATTCAGTTGTTGATAGTTGTGAATTTGTTGACTTTTTTAAAATTTATTTTTAGACAGAGGGGGAGGAAGGGAAAAAGAGAGGAAGAGAAACATCTTGTGCACCTCCCACCAGGGACCTAGCCTGCCACCCAGGCATGTGGCCTGACTTGGAATTGAACCAGTGACTCTTTGGTCTTCAGGTCAGCACTCAATCCACTGAGCCAGACAAGTCAGAGCTGTTGACTTTTTAATGTTCATAGTTTTAATCTTCTTTTGCTTAAATAAGTCCCTTTAACCTTTCATATAAAAATGGTTTCATGGTGATGAACTTCTGTAGCTTTTTCTCTGGGAAGCACTTTATCTGTCTCAAAGATAGCATTGCTGGATAGAGTAATCTAACCTGTAGGTTCTTGCTTTTCATCACTGTGAATACTTCTTGCCTGCAGTTTCTTATGAGAAATCAGGCGACAGTCTTATGGGCCCTCCTTTGTAGGTAACTGTCTGCTTTTCTCTTGCTGCTTTTAAGATTCTCTCTTTATCTTCTACCTTTGGCCTTTTTTTTTTTTTTACACTGGTTGCTTATTGTTTATTTCCCACTTGGTGCAAGGCATGCAGTTACCGGTGTCAGGAAGGCTCAAGTTTGGCTTGAGTGGTAAAGATCAGGGTACTCTCAACTTCCTTTTTGGTGTTTTGCTGTTTTGATCTGAAAGAACCCAGCTGGGTCTGCTTCTGCCTGCTGAGTGTTCAGGGTGGGGGAAGGAGGGGGAGGGGCATGGTAGGTGGGGAGGGGGAGGGGCTCAAAAGAGCCTAGCATCTCTAGAAGTCTGGTG